GGAAAGAGCCAAAACAAAAATCCAAGTAAATGATAAATCCCTAAAATCAGGTCAAAGTTTTCTCCTTGGAAGAAAGGAAAGAAGGAACTGAGGAGGGTCCTGTAGAGGGATTTAAGCTTATGTTGGCAGTGAATTATTTCTTAAGCTTGCTGATGAGTTCTGGAATATTCATTACATTCTTCATGCTGTTTTGTGTGTCTTAAACGTTACATAACACAATAGTTGCAGCACTGTTGGTTACTAACCTAACCACGTGTTCGTCCTCGGGGACCAATCAGAAGCGGTCTCATTTAGTCATGCTATTCCCACTTCCATAACAGGTGTGGATATAACCAAGAATCAGACCTAAGAGGAAGCCAGTTAAGGAAGGGGGCACCGTTCTGGGAAGCTTTTCTTTTCTGATGAAAAAACCCCATTGACTCATGCCTCTTCCTTCCTTGTTGCAGACCTGACTCCTGCAATGTGGCGGCCATCTTGGAGGCATGGGGTGACAAGCATGACAGAAAGCCAAAGCTCTGAGGAGGGTAGAAAGAAAGGATGGTCGGACCCTTCGTATCTGGTGACATAGTTCAAATGCCCGATGGTCCCTGAAACTGTCTAGAAACTAGATTGTTTACGAAGGAAACCGTAATCATGTTCATGGTTTCATTTACTTACAGGTTGTGTGACTTCCTGGTGCCTGTGATCAAAAACCTTCCTGCTATGAACCCAACAAATCATGTTCCCCCTAGACTTATCATTGGGCTTGCCATTCTGTGAAAACACTAAGCACTTTTCTCTCCGACAGATCTCTCCTCCTCCCTCCACGCACATGGCTCCTCCAGTGCACACCATACTCTGAAGCTCCTCTGAAATGTGATCTCCAGATGCCTTCCTTCGCCTCTGAGTTCCTGAGGTAACAGCACACTTCCTTCTCTGAGGCCCCCACACTTTCTCTCTCTGCCTATATTATGGTCCTTACTCCATGCATAGTGGCTCCCTGTACACGAGACCTTGAACGCCGGAATCACACGTGTTGTGTGTGCATGTCTGGGTCTCTGTGGTCGGCACAGACCCAGGCTCTTCGCGGCTGCCCTCTGAAGCTGGTCAGAGCGACTGATGCCTGCCTGTGTTACATCTTAGGGGGAGAACACACCAAGCACTTCAGTAGGTGGCGAGGAGGAGATGTGGAGAAAGACATCTGAAAGGCCTTTCCAGAAATGAACATTGCAAATCGAACCCTCTTCTCAGCTGCTCGGAGTGCAATATTCCATCTGTCATATTCACACCTGCTAATGATTTTGTGTGTTCAATAGAATGGTATTTAAACTCGCCAGCCTATTTAAATCCTGCTTTCTTTTTATTTCTGTGCAAGCTGCCAGGTCCAGGACTCAGAGCATGTCAGCCATATGGGAGTCCAGCGCCCTTAACCACCACGCCACCTGCTGGCCCCTTGATACAATCTTAGCTGCCAAAGACTGAATCGCTAGCATGTACTAATGGAGACCAATTCCACCCTTGGTACTTTGCAAAGGCTTCTGGGACTTGCACTTTACCAGGAGGTGTCATTTCCAGCATGTTCCCTAACACGTCTTACATTGTGTGCTGTCTGTTAGCAATGGAAGTGCTGTCGCGAAGAATTCCTCTTCCAGCTCTGGTTTCTGCTCAGACTGGGATTGCTCTGGGCATAGGTTCTTTGCGATTTCCCAGTAATTATGGCTACAACGCACGCATGGTTGGGGGTTGCACTTAATCAAAGGGCGCACATGTACGTCTGGGTGGATTAGGACTGAGCATAAGCTGACCATCCAAGTGTACCCTCATGTATCGACTGACCATCCCTTCAGCAGGCTTCCAGCCAGAGAAGGACGTGGTGTCTTCACAGGGCTTTGGTCACTTGGATGAGATACAGGACGAGCTCTCTGTAAGAGAAGAGGGCATGTGTGCTTGCCAGAGAGAGACAGCAAGAAGGAAAGTGAGAAATCACCCTCTCGGGGGATGGTCATGCTGCAATCTCTTCTGCTCCATTCTCTTCCTAGGATTTTGGGCACACACACATGCACCTGGTATAAGTTTCAAGTCACTGGATCCAGGACTCAAACTCTAGTCAGCCATGTGGGAATCCAGTGCCTTAACCACTATGCCACCTGCTGCCGCTCAATAGGATACTCTTAATCTGCTTAGATAGCTATAGGCTGGAGGTCTATGTTGAAGAAAAACACTTTTCCTTACGCTGCTGTGCACTTTACCACTCGTCTGTCCATTCATTCACTTATTTGTTTCTTTAACAAACGTGTTGTGCCGTGCATGGGAAACCATCCATATGCTGGGCTCTTGGGAGAGACTGATGAGGAATACAAAGACCTCATGGAGCTTGTGGTCTGAGAAAGAAAGATGGTGTCCTAGTTTCGCGCAGCTGCCTAGTTAGTCACCACAAACTCAAAGCCTTCAAATGACAAAAGTATGTTCTTTCACAGTTCTGGATGCCAGAAATCCAGAATCGATGTCAGTCAGGCCACGCTGGGTTTGGGGGAGATCCCTTTCTCGCCTCTTCTAGAGAGTGGTGCAAGATGTATCTTGGCTGTGGCTGCCCTTTCCCTCTTTTCTCTGTCTTGCCTTTCCTTTTCTTTTTCCTTTCATTTTCTTTTTTCTCTTTCTCTTTCTTTTTTATTTTGGAAATGTTTTTGCTACAGGGCACATGCACTTGCCAGAAAGAGAGACAGAGAGACAAAAAGGGAGAAATCACCTCCCAGGGGGTCTGGCCATGCCGCAATCCCTTCTCTTCCATTCTCTTGGGATCGCGGGCACACGTGCACATGTGCCCAGCTTGAGTTTAAGCCACTGGGTCCGAGACTTGAACCACAGTCGACTACATAAGAGTCCAGCGGCATAACCATTATGCCAACTGCTGGTCCCAGCCCCCTTTTTTTGACTCTTTCTCTTTCTTCCTTCCTTTTTCTTAGGAGATAGCACGAGAGGGAGATTTCCCACAGGACCTCACCATGCCACACGTGTAGGTTGATTTGTGATCTGAACCTGTGCCTTCCGCATGGCACCCTACCACCCGTGCCCTGTGGCTGGGCCTTTTTGTGTGTTTCTTATAAGGAAACTTCATTTAGTTTAGGTCCATCAGAGTAGTCTGGGATCAGCTCATCTGAATTGCTCAGTCTAATGATATCTGCAAAGACTCCTAAACGAGGTCACATCTATAGGTCCTGGAGGCCGGGGCAAGGACATATCTAACTCAGTGCAGATGGAATAGTTGTCAGGTGTGCGGAGAGTGTGGGGAGCAGGTGGACTTGAGCAGGGTGAGACAGGCCTGTTCCCCTCTGAAAAGTCTCGTCGTATGCAGTCTGGCCTGCACTCAACCATCACTGATGGAAGGGAGATATCAGCCACTCTCTGGCCTCAAGGCTGAAGCCCCCATTTGACTTGCCCCTGCCTCAAGGCCAAATGCCTGCTGTCTTAAGCCCAAACATGCAGGCTGGCTGCATGTCTTTAAGCTCTCTGTGCTCACTAGCAGGTGTTAATTAGTGCTGCAGTTGTGACACCCCCCCCATGGGCTTTTATTATGCATTCTGAGAAAATGCATGGAGCAGAATGTACTCGTCGTATGCAGTCTGGCCTGCACTCAACCATCACTGATGGAAGGGAGATATCAGCCACTCTCTGGCCTCAAGGCTGAAGCCCCCATTTGACTTGCCCCTGCCTCAAGGCCAAATGCCTGCTGTCTTAAGCCCAAACATGCAGGCTGGCTGCATGTCTTTAAGCTCTCTGTGCTCACTAGCAGGTGTTAATTAGTGCTGCAGTTGTGACACCCCCCCCCATGGGCTTTTATTATGCATTCTGAGAAAATGCATGAGCAGAAATGTATGGGTTATGTACACCCCTGGCTGTCAATCAAAGATGATCTGTGTTAAAAGGAGAGGAGTCACCCAGCAGAGGGACCAGGAGCAAAACCCTGAGTCATCGTAAAAGAAACTCAGATGACTGCAAGGCTGGCTGGTCTGACTTCGGCCTCGGCCCCTGAGCGCTCCTTGCTTTGTTGAGCCAAAGGAGGTCTCTACTCTTGCCTTTCTGCTGGTGTCTGTCTTCAATTCTTTGTTGAAGGATGCCAAGAACTGAGGACGGCTTTGACCCCGTAACAGTGTTACAAAGGGGACTCAAGAATTTGACAGGGCGACCCCTTCTTTGGGGATCAGAGGAAGTGACGTCTTCTGAAAGCAGAAGGCTGGATGGGTACTTGCTGGCTGTGAGGTGGGCAGGAGCGGGCACTTCCCAGGAAAGGAGGAAAGGTCAACTTGGCCGGAACAGAGAGGGTGTGGGGAAGGAGCACAGGGGCGGAGAGAACAGAGACCCAGGTGCCTTCTGAGTATGCAGCTCTCGCCATCTTGTGGAGGACTTTGGACTCCAGGCCAGCAGAGAGAACTGTAATACAGTTTCCAGGGAAGAGTAAAGGGAGCTGATTTGCATTTTAAGACGATTTCCTTGGCTTCTCTTTTTCCTCCCCAGACCCCGACTCCTTAATTCTCTAATGATGGCCAATAATGCTGTCACTGGGAAATCACAACACAGGCAGGCTCAGGCAGCAAAGATGCAAACGTTGAAACCTTCAAAAGCCCCTTTCTTGGCATCTAATTTATACTCTCCCTCCCAACCCGGATCCCCTTCTGGCTTCATTTTGGTTTTGAAAATCCTAAGTAAAATATTCTTTCAAAACCTCAGATACCAAATGCAATTTAACATTGTGGAAAAGAAGAGGCCTCTTTGCTGTTCTGATATTTATTATTCCCAGTTCGTTATTTTCCCTAATGAACATTTCCTTGGGCTTATCGGTTTGAACACATGCCATTTACCACCTCCGACCTGCTGATTAGGGGGCTGGGGACGGCCTTACATCACTGTCAGGCAAGGAGAGGAAAAATTGCTCAGTAAATGGCAAGATGTTGTGGTGATTGCGAGCAGGAAAATCTGCAGTGCTTAGGAGAACGCGGGACGCAAATGCAATTCCGCGTCTCCAGGCGTCGAGGTGCAGCCTAGCCACTGGCGGGATGCGGAGGCCGCCACGTGACTGATTATTCAAATGGCCCGATGATTAACTCGGTTTATATTGATGCAAATAATCCTGCTGGAGCCTGCAACGGCTAATGCATTTTGGAACTGTGGTTTTTCCATTGATAGCACAAAATAGTGTAGAGGAAAGCCATTTTCATAATATTAATAATGGAATTACAGAATCAGGTCACTTAAAGAAACGGCGCTGACTCAGCGAAAGCGATGTCGAGTTGAATGCGGAAATTGGTATCGAGCAAAACGAAATACAAACCTTCTGCAGCGATCTCATTGCATACAACCCGCGCCCCCTTACCTTTTTCTTTTTAAAAGAGAGAGTTTTAAAAACCTACTCCAGCTAAGTACAATTCTATGGCCAGGGAAGGGACTGTCCAAGGTGCTGAAGGAGACCTATAAGATGTTTTCCTCATTTTTTGTTCAATTATATCTTGGGTTTAATTTCTTTGTTCAGTTTAATGTCCAAGTCCTAGAACAGTGCCTGTAAATGCCTTCTAAATGGAGACTAAACTTGGAGGTTCCAGCAGGTGGCATGCATTAAGGTGCTGGACTCCCCTGTCGCCGACCATGGTTCAAATCCCAGACCTGTTGGCTTGCTTTCTTTCTTTCCCCCTCTTTCTCTCTGGTGAGCACATACGCTCTATAGCAAATTAAAATAATAATAATAATAATGATGATAATATTAGGGACCAGGAGATGGCGTAATGGTTATGTCGCTGGATTCCCATGTAATCGACCATGGTTTGAGTCCTGTGGCTTGACACTCATGCCTAGCACCTGTGTGTGTGTGCTCAAGAACCCCAGAGGAGAGTGGAAGACAAGAGATTGTGGCATGGCTACTCCCCCCAGTAGGTGATTTCTTGCTTTCTGTCTCTCTATCTCTCTCTGTTTATCCGGCAAGCACACACACCCTATAACAAAAATCTCTCTCTCTAAAAAAAGTAATAAAATAATTAAACTAAAAATTCTTTTTAAAAATTGGAACTGAAGATCAATAAATGCCCTCTCGAGGACCAGCTATGTTTGCCAGTGAAGATCCAGTGAAGAGGTGAAGGTCAGTGGCAAGCTCTCAGGACTTAAAAAGAATACAGTGGGCCAGGGCTAACTCCTGGGGTCTCGTTGATTGGGCAGGCCTTGGGGGGAGGCAGGAGGTAGGTGGACATTGAACAAAGTTTTGAAAATA